GCCACCGGATTCCTTCCGGAACGGCTACAATTACCGTTTAAATTTGTCGGTTAGTTTTGTAAGAGATTCTTGTACAAAGGTCTTCGTAGATTTATCTTCGCTCCGGATGGAAATGTCAGTCTAGGTTTTACTGCGATGTACAGCAATCAGTTCACCTCCAAAACCACCTTAGCTGAGACAGTGTTCGAAATGAGACCTCGACATGAATACTGATTTCTTTATTTTTAATATCGTTTACTAAACGTTCTCTTGTCCACATAATCTCGTTGCAACGTTTTGTGTTCACGGCTGTACACTTGCCGATAAGCTATCGACTTCGGAACATTCTATTTGCTTATCAGTAGCATGTTTTTCAACTGCTCCCTCATAGAGAACAACTGCGTCCTTTTCTGAATTAGTTTTGCTCGACTGAAACAAATGAAATATTGGAAAGTATTTGGTTTCGGTTATTTTCAGTTAGAATTTAAAACTCGGTTAAAATATACGATTTCAAAAATATTGCTTTCCAAATCCTAATGTGCTAGCTAACATAATACCGACTGCTGAGGGATGGATTGTCCGTTGAAAAACTAACTATTACCAACGGAAAATCAATATCAACAACTGTGGAGCATAGATCCGGATCATCGGCTCTGAGTAAGACTAAAATGTCCAAACGTCAAACAAACATCTTTATCAACCTCGTGCTAGCTTAATAATTGTATTGACTAACAAAAAAGTATTGACTATTAATGCTGAGTTTAAACGAAGATCGGTTTCAAAAACAGAGACATATTGAAAAGTTTAAATTCTGACCTTTTTTGCGTAGCAGATACGCGGAAATCCACGCTGTGGGTCCGGCAGCACCCTTGCATTTTCCATCAGTCGTTCAAAATTGTGCTAAAACAATAGAAATTTGGGTCAGACAGGTTTTTTGGCGTTAACAATGACGTGCAAAGCCCTATCGATTTCTCACGTTCGTTTTTTCCCTGTCCCAAACAAGTCTAATATCATTGCCGCAATTTATAGGGCTCAAATCAAATCAATCACCTATATTACTTATATCCCCTATATCACGTTAAACACTGTTAATCATAGAGTAACTCGAGCGGACAACAGCAATGCCGCTGTAAAGGTACTCATTCCACGGTCAGGAAGAGCATCGTACATTTCACACATTGAGCTTTACTACTATCCTGGTTTCTCGACCAAGAGATTTCCATTGGCTTCGGCAATGATCTATAGTGATTAGCGATTTTAATTTCATTATTAACTAGTTCTCATCAAAAGTTTACCGTCTCATCTTGGCTGAAAGGTGTTCCTGGAAGTCGAACTACAAAGCACAGTTCATCCCTCCAGCAAGGTTTCCAAACAGAACGATTCCGACGATTCCATCCCAAAGCCCACCCAAAATTAAACGAATACCAGGAATGATGGCCATCCTAGTAGCAAACTAATCGCATGGTGGCAAGTTCTCCATCGATCCAAAATGGCCAGCGACTGTCAGGGTTGGTGACGGCCCGAGAAAGGCTTTGGCTAGGATGGCTCCGTGACTTTAGAGGACTACAATGGCTAAACTAGCAAATATCCGGCCTCGGTACCCAGCACACCAGGCGGTTTTGCCTACGACGTCTGCCGGGAAGAAAGCCGACCGGAGGTGATCAAATCTCCAGTTGAACAGGACGTCACTGGAAACGGACAAAATGAGCAGACCCATGATACATCATGGAGACGGCTTCTTTCTCTGCACCTATAACACGGGAACAATCTGTTCAGACGCCGACCGCCGACCTTTTCTTGAGATTCGATGTCTTTCTTCAATAAGCAGATACGAGGTTGTTATTATAGAATTTATTAGGATACAATGACGTTTCGGCGGTTTCGCCTTCTTCAGAGGCGTTTGTACTTACAACAGATAGACGGCTCTGAAGAAGGCGAAACCGCCGAAACGTCATTGTATCTTAATAAATTCTATAATAACAACCTCGTGTCTACTTATTGAAGAAAAACATCGAATTATCAATCAATGCCGAGGTTGAAAGAAAGTCGGTCATGGGAATTCTCTTGAGATTGTTCATCGCAATAAATTCCACGTGACCAATCTATAAGAGACGAAAAGCGGAAGGACCGACATATGAAAATTAGAGGACGGAAGCCCTGTAATCCGGACAGGGAAATTTGCGTTATGAAATGTTGGAGGCGTTGAGCTTGTCGTTCACCTGTCTATTTCGCATCAAGTCACCTCATACGAAATCCTATCACCTCACTTTTGCACTCTTCGTCCCCAACTTCCACGTCGAAAGAAAGTCTGTATCAACAACTCCAACTTGTACAGCTGATGAGAGCGAAGAAGACGCTTTTTACAACAAGTTGGAGGAATGAATCTCCAACGAGAAGTTCATCGGCAAATTCGTTATCGAAGATTTCAAAGCTGGAATAGGAACGGCCAAAGAAAATAAATGCAAGTGCCGATCGGCGACTACATGCTGTTTGTCGGAGGACTTAAAACTTGCGCCGAGCTCGCCTCATTTCCTCAAACAAGGTATTCAAACTACATCTCCATTACTTCTAAGGAGTGGCCTGAAAAGAGAAGGAAACGGAAGCCTAATGCTACTTAAACACACCTAAAAGGGCTGATAATAAATGCCAACTGTAGAAGACCTTTGGAGGAAAATTTACAATACAGGCAGAAAAAGTTGCTAGGAGCAGCTCAAAAATGACCCAGTTGTCCGAAGAAGTGCCTTCGGGATATTTGCGACTAGTTCAGCTAACCGCCACGATGAACGAAGATGCGACTATCGCTACATCACACCATGATAAGGAATTGATAATGGAAAAGCTCTCTACCAATCTTCTCCGCTCCACAACCTCTGCCTTGGATTCCGAAATCCCCGCTGGTGAAAAACCATCCCGGATTCTACCCTCTGAATTTCGAGTTGCAATAGAGGACATGAAGAAAGGCACAACTCCATGACCCGATATTATCACCGTAGATATCCTTAGAGCTGGAGGCCACAAATCACATGTACCTCACGCAGCCCACGTGACAACTTACCTTGAAAAAGAGAAAAACCCAGTCCAGTGGAGGACCTTGCGATGACCGAAGAGATCTTCGTAACTATCGTCCAATATACTTGTTGAGTGTACCCTACAAGCTGTTCATGAATATTATCCTTTTTCCTATCCCATCACTGGAATCCAGGGGAATATACATCAAGACCACACACAGATGGGCTGGTCACATGGTAAGAAAAACGGATAATAGATGGAAGAAAAGAACAACATAGTAGAGTCGAACAGACATGCGTCTTCTTGGAGAGCTACCTAAATCATGAGTGATCGTGTTCGTGGCAAACGTCAACCAGTTGCACTCGTAGATGGAGTCGATTTTAGAAATTCGAAATGACCACGGACGATGATCGGACGAAAGAGAAACGAGCGAAAATTACGCTGGGACCCGCATCGTTGGTGAATACAGGCTATCAAAGTATTGAAGTAAGTACTAACTAGCAGACACCACTTTTCAATATAGCATTTTCTCCACAATAACTAATCATTCTGGAATTTCACTTCCACTAGGATTTGGATAGAGGTATGCAGGAAACTTGAACACCCCGTCCTCGTTGATTGTGCAAACACCAACACAATCTCATTTTTCGGAGATTTCCTGGTTTCCTGGTTTTTCGGAGATTTAGAATCTTGTGATAGGATCGTCTGCTTCAAAGACCTCACCGTTATACTTATCCTTATGATATGTATCTAAGCTCGGTGGAATTTATTGAAGTTTGGTTAGGAAAACCTGTGCAATTTTACGTTCTATAAAGATGGTCGTAGATCGTTAACTCATTAGTCGTAGACGACTGTAAACTAATAAGCCATCACGCATGTACAAGTTTCGTACCCTAACTGCTTTTCACGTACTCCACGGATCTTGCAGCATGTTTCACTCTGAAACAGGAGAGATATGAAATCGATCTCCAAGATCCACATAATTTTCAAGAATAAAGTCGTTTTCGGTCCGGTTACAACCCCTTGTTGGCGACCTTGGCATGCGTAACATGGTTGCGTGACCAACCGACTGAGGATCTCTCAGTGAGGCATATTTGTTTAAATATTTTCTTATATTTCTATAGTCTATCCCATACATGACCTATATGGTTTATATATATTCACATCTCATGCGAATGCCGGCACTTCTTTCATTCGCTTCGTTGTATCACGTCAATCATCCACGAAAGTTTTAGGATTTGCGTGTTGGACCTGGTGTTATTTGATAACGTTATCTTTATTGATCTCGCTGAATATTGGCTGTATTGACTCTACTTGGAATCGAACGACAGTATAGTTAGAACGTTCTTGGTCCTCATGATAGGCAATCTTTGAACTTTCTGAATTAATTCGTCGATCCCGGAATGTTACGGGGCTTGGTTATCTCAAAGTGGCGTTCAATCAGCGACTGTCTTCCAACCAGCGCTAGATTTTTAACCCGAAAGAGACTAATAGATCAGAAAGATTGCTGTCGTGATTTACTTACATTCGAAATTATTGTCCTTAACAGAATTTGTTATAGCCATGACGAGGCGGGCAGCGCAGTGAAATTGATACCGTCCATCCAACCACGGTGGTGGTCCGACTCCGTCTCGGGTTCACCAAGCCTTCGATCCCTCCTGAACCAAATGGCACTAGATCTGGGTGAGACCAGCTCAATTCCTCCATCTGCGCGGAGATGCTCTAGTACCGTTATCCTAGGACTCTGGGGAAAATCAACTGGACAAATATTCAAATACACTTATAATGAAGGCAAAAGTCCTCAAGCAGTAGCGAACCACACGTGGACGGCTCAAAGACCATCGTGGATAGTGGATACGAGGAAACAAATCGAATGCAAAAAGTGGTAAGATCCGCACAGTAGATGTAAGAACTGGTCATGTAAAGAAAGAATCGCGACTTACCTGCACCACTATTAAAAAGCAGAATATCTCCCAAAAGAACTACCAATCGTGAGATTTTCATTAAGCATATTAATTACCACAACATGTAGGTGTAATAGTTTTCCCCACCTTATTAAATGGGATGGGAACTCCGGCACAGATCGAGTCCCTGATAAGATAGTCGAATTTGTCAACGTCGATTGAATCGTTGTCGTTAGCTACGATGTCGAAAAGAAATGATTTCTCTAACGGGCGACCTTTTGGCAGCCAGGAACCGTGCAAATCCTAAAAAATCAGTGAAGATGGAAAAATAAAGGAGTTAAAACTACTCAGCTATTTGAATAGCGTATCTCTCATAGGTTGGTACAAGTCCGAATACTAACAAACTTTTCTGACAATATCAACTCTTCAATGAAGGTTATGTTCTTTTGGAATTCTTCACCAGTTCCAAGGTAATCCTCCAGTGCCTCTCGGATTTCCGTTCGGTCAATTAGACGTCGTAGTAGAGCGATGGACAACGATTCATGCTGAACATCATGATAATACACAATATCTGAGAAAATTAAATAGCTTTTTTGGTTTTCATTGCCACCCATGTCTCATAAATGTGATTTCTTCAGATCGAGAGTTTGCTTCTGACGATTCGTTCATATATCAAGGACCAATAGTAATGGTATAGAAACATATTAAACATGATAAAGCGCTTGCAGGGGCGCGGGTGGCGCGGTGATGAGAAGCGCTCTGCAACACACACGAGGAATCGATGATTCCCACACCCATGGCCCACCAAGCCTTCCTTTTCTCCTGGGTCGATAAATTGGCAAATTGATACCAGACTTGCCTGGGGTCTGGGGGGAGGGGCTAGCGGCTCTGGCTCGATACATCGGTAGGCCACCGCGAGTCATTGTAAAGGCCAGATATGCATACAATCATCTCCAAACGATTAATAAAGTCCAGTGCATGGCTTATCCCTCACGGTTTGATCAATGCCGAGAGCTTTATCCTTTATTCTCTTTAAAGTGCTCAGTGGATAGGCTCCACAGTGAAGGAAAATACAGCAGGTTTTAAATCCGAAGCTTCGACGAATCTCGAATTTCGAAAAGACAAAATAGCTCGTTTTTCATGATCGCTCTTCGATGTCGTACTGTGTAGCATTACTGAACTTTGTTAACAGGTTTCTTGAACCACACTTACTCTGGTAGATGACTTCTACGTTCAGTTCGAATAGTTCAAAACTGACGAAAAAATTTCCAAAAAATCTGTAGTGATTGGCGCAACCCACCTTAGGAACCGCAGCCATAGAAGACTCATGTAGTGCAGAATCGAACAAGTGTGAAAAAGGACCGTGTCCTAGAAAATGAGAAATTCTGTTGGCTTTTTTTTGATTGGAAGAAGAAAAACTACTAATGAATTGCATAAGCTTTACCCAGGTCATGACAAAGGGCTGCCATCGAAACACAGAGATGATCCTGACTCGTAATGTTTAGAGAAGGATCCCGTTTCAGAATTTCCACAAATTTGAAAGCTAGCCAATAGGTCCTAAAAGCCGCTCGTTTTTTTCACGAAAGTTAACAGAGAAAAACCTTCACAGCTTCCTCTGGAAAATGTTACTTCGCTTCCTAAAGTATCTTTTAAGCAGCTACAAATGTACAGCACAAACATATAAGAAGTTCTCAAAAGTTGTTTAGCTAGCAGTTAGAACGGCCACCGTACTTTTAGTTTACAAAAGAAGAAACGCTGTGATTTGCTAGATGAAGGGAAGATGTTGCTATATTCATTGAAGGAACGTTAATTTTAAGGGCTCATATAGCCCCAATAGCTACAAAAGCCCTACAATTCGCATGCGGATGTCGATTCGATTCCAAGTACTGGGCAAATAGCGCTGGAAACGTTGCTACTACATCTGCCTACAAGGGTAGAAACACCGACCGACTTGACACAGTAATACATCGTTTGGCTTCCAATAGGCTTCTAAAAGTCATTGTATAAGTCTGATAGAAACTCAACCATCACTACGATGTTACGAATGGTTGATTGTATGGCGCATCTCTGAGGACTGACACTGATTTCTACCCTTGTAGGCAAGTGTGGTTGCAATGTTCTGAGCGTTATTTGCCCAGTACTTGGAATCGAATCGACGTTCAACGTTTATGTCCTTTGTGTAGTTTTAACAAGCTTTATTATTTTTATGTTTAGCCTAATTTCAATAAGATATAAAAGACTAGCCCTAAGCTATGTACGAATCGGGTGTGGGTGCAACACGGATAGACCATGTAGGTGACACCAAGCTGTTTAATATCTCTTAGTCTTTGGAATTCTCTCGTGTCGACAAGTCTGTCCAATGGATGGAAGAGAGAAATTGGACCATGAACCATGTCTTGGATTTCACGCTTCTAAAAATTAGGAAAGAACCATTTTTTCATATGAGGAAATCTAAAACAATGAAACACCAAGAAGAACTGACATTTAACAAAGGTGGCCATGTCATCAGTGTCTCTCTCTTGCTTAACTTCATACCTGAAAACTTAACTATGGTTTGTCTTTCAAGAAGCCAACGCATTCAAATAAACATAGGTTAGGAAAGTGATTAGACCTGGAAAGAGGTATGAATGAGGCCTGTCGATTCCAGTTGTGGCTAGCTCTTCCTGGACAAACTGTTTTTTCCGTAGTTACTAATAAATTCCAATAATTATTGCGACCTAACAAAAATTAAGTTGTAACTCTCAAGTATTAACGTCCGAGACGGTCATGAAATTATCTAGGCTGATAGTAAATATTAAAGAATAGAATAGAATAGAATAGAATATTAAAGAATAAAGAAAAAGAAGAACAAAGACTTTAACAATGTTCTGAGAAACTTTATTTCTTAATGAGCAATTCGAAACGTTGATGAAGGAGACCAACATAACTGTGGTTGAGAAATCACACTATCAAAGAGTTTAGGGGTAATCAATTTTATCCAGTACAATAAATAGCAAGGAGCAAACGACTACAGAAGTATGAACAGAATTGTGCCTTTGACAGGATAAAAAGGATGAGGTTCTCGGCGTTCATCAACACCTGAAGAATGCGCTAAGCATTACTTCATTAAGCATCGTTGGAGGTGACTCAATGCATATCTGGCCTATACACTGACTCGCAGTAGCATACCGATGTACGAGTATGTGCTATCCTTCCAGACAAGTCTGGTACCAATTTGCCGACGAGCAATAGAGGGCTTGGTGAGCCTAAGGGGTGGGATCGTTCCCTTGTGTATTGCAGAGCGGCTCTGAGTACTGCGCTACATACGCCCATTGTGCCTTTACCATTAAAAAAACTGGAGCGATAATTTTTCCGAAAGAATAAATATAAGTAGGGAAGACAAAGGCCTCCATTTCGAAATGAGAACTTAAACATGAAAACACATCTGAAAACAATTCAAGATCTTCCATTATAATCCGATTTTTAAATAAAAAACTTCCAGAACCACTTGCTCGCACACTTCATGATCCAACGATTTTAACTCATTGACAACAAGGTCTGCTTTTGGTGACTCTCACAGCGAGTCACCTCCAATTCATCTCGACCAAAGTGGTTCCCTGCAAATGCAAATGATCCTGACCTGTTACGCTTGATTATCAGCTCGATTGTCTCTGAAGACTTTCGAAGTTTCAGCTTCCACAGCGCTAACGTGAAAACATTGAATGAGCCGACGTATTCCTCGTCGATGTTATCGAGAACGGCATCTTCCCCAAAGCGAACTAATGAACTGAATAAGCCGCAGTTTACGGCGGCTTTTCTTCATGAATTCAGCGGCTTTTTCTCCTTACCGCGAAAAATGAAATCGTTCACAAAGGAGGTGATGGCCTGGTCCCGTGTAGAATTTTGGGACAACATCGACATCGGTTAGGCAAAACCTTCGATTCACTTTGATTTGGTCTATTTCATTATGGTACTCTGTTTACCACGTCCAGCGTTGAGAGTGTGGCTTCTAAAAGAGCGAGTTATCATGGATAGTGTTGGCCATCATGATAAACTGACACAGCTGTTCACCGTGTCCGTCCCATTCTAACCCTTGGGCCCGAAGTGACGTTCTTCATACGCTTTCCTCGGCCCAGTTTTGGTATTAAAATCACCAGTTATATTCTTATGATGTCCTTAAAGGAGATACGGCTTGTCTGTACAACTTCTCCAAGTCAATGTAGAAGGCTATGACTTCGCCGTAGCTCGATAGTGGTTTGTAAACGATGAAGTATTTTAGAGCCGGTAGTGGTCCACATTTCTTTAGCCATAACCCTCTGATTCGGGTTGCTAGTTGTTCATGGTCAAACTCGTTTTGACGAGGAATAGAATGCCATCAACCCTTGTCATATGTTCAGCAAAATCATTGTGCTATGGTATCATGGGCAGAGGTAGATAGGCAGCGTTAGATACACGGCATCTTCTCGTGTCAGCCAAACATTGAACATAAACCCTTTTTCACATATAGGTGAATTCTTCTTAACGCAAAAAGCGCAGTCATGTTGCAAACTCGTCATGTTTCACTGCGAACACAAGATCGCTTTTGGTCTGCGCTTAACCATGCATGGATGCGCCATGTAGCCTCGTGGCTGCCTGGAGATCCCTCGGTGACGGAAACCACTGGAGACACAAAGATGTAAACGAGGCTATTATAAAAAATTTTATAAATCTTATGACACCAAATTCGCATGCCAAGCAGAAGTATATAGAAGATATGAAATGATGTGCCACTCCGAGTTTGCAGTTGTGTTGCAGCAACTTCAGACTCATGTTCCTTCTATATCTCAGCTCGAAACAAACTTTATCAAACGAAATAAAAACTATTAGGATCCACACATTCTTGCCAATGGGAAACAATTTTATATATACCGAATGGACAGAAGTGGAATTCCCAAGGCGATGTACTCGTTGAAGGCAGTTTGGGTCCCAAGCTACTTTCTGAAGCATTTCTTTTTCGCATGGTAAGTTGTCAAGATGTTTGAAGAAGTAGTCGGAAGGTGAGAGGTCCGATGAGTACGATAGATGAGGCAAGGTTTCGTAGCCTATCTCGTTCAACGTTTGCAGCGTCGGTAGAGCGATATGTGACCGGACCGTTATCGTGGAGAAGGATTCATACCGCATCCATTTATTGAGTTTCTTCGACTTTCTAATTATCTTCAGATGCTGCAAAACAGCAAAGATGATTACACCGAGTTCTTCTGCAAGTTCTCGAACAACTCTGCACGTATTTGCTTTCACCAAACCCTTCAATCCATCGTTGTCAGTAGCTGAAGAACGCTGTCTTGATGGCCGAATTTGCTACCAAAAAATCTTCGAAAACAACGTTGCAATGTGCATTCGTTAACATTTCGTCCGTCACATATCGTTTGAAGCACTATGTCCGAGTTTAAAGTCGTAAGAGCAGATTCGTTAAAGTTTGCTGTTTCGAAATCCCAATTTCTAACTTGTAATATCTATCAAAAAATACAGTTCATGCTATAACCAAACTACACATGGCGAGAATGCACAAAATAATCTTTGCGATGATATATAATAAAAAAAAGGATAAAGCTCTCGGCGTTGATCAATCCCTAAGGAATGAGCCATGCATTTGACTTCATTTAGCATCGTTCGGAGGTGATTGAATGCATATCTGGCTTTTACAATGACTCGCAGTGAGCAACCGATATATCGAGCCTACGCTTCTATCCTTCCAGACAAGTCTGGAATACATTTGCCAACCCGGAAAGATGAAAGGCTTGGTGAGTCTGTGGGGCAAGGATCGATACCATGTCTACTGCAGGGCGCCTCCGAACACTGCGCTACACACGCCCTTGATATATGAAAGGTGCAACAAAAAGCAACGAAATGATATCATTCCTGAAAAAATATGGAGGAAAACCAAAACTGCAGATCCTGCAGTGGTTTCTAAACATTCTAACATACTTTTACGGTTGAATGACACTGGCAGAGAGATTTCGCAGCACATGAGAGAAGATGGCACCGATATCCCACCAGCACAGGAAGTGGGGAATAGTTAAATAAGATAGAGAACTCCAATTGTAACGAGTGCACCAGACGCAGTCGATGCAACGAATATCTGTGCTTAAACTATTTCAACGGCTCCCACAGAAAATGTCAACTACAGAAGTTACGGATTGTGAAATTGTACGCCTGGATTGTAAATTTTAAAGGTCATGGAACCGTAGTGGCAGCAATTGTACGTAAATCGGGTGTTCGAAGTGTTAGTTTTACAAATTAAAGGATGTAAAGTTTGTTCTAAAGCGCAACGTCTACAACACAAAACAAAGGTTATCAGAATAACAGTTGAGATTATGTAATGTTTACAGGAACACACATTATGAAAACATTTTATATCATATATAATAATAATAGTAATAGTAACAATAACAATAATAATAGTAATAATAATAATAATAATAATAATAATAATATACCATGTCCCGTTCATCACGAATACAGTGCTGGCTCGAGCCCATGTAGCGCTCACCAAGCGTCTCATCCCTCTGGTGTGGGAAAATTGGTCCCAGACTTGTCTGGAAATAGCGCACTCGCTGCTTAGAAGTGGTAACGCTTTAGCCCATCTATCCCAGGATCTCAAGGAGAATCTGCCCCAATTTCATAAAGAAGACAGCAACCATCGAGTAGCAATCGGACCCGCACGCGAAAGGTTCGAAAACCTTTCGTGGGTTATGCATTCGAGGAACCTAATCGTATGGAAGAAATGCCGAGATACGCACAGCAGATATAGGTCGGATTGTGTAAAAAAAACAATATATATATATACATATATATATATGTATAGTCAGAACATCAAAGCAGAACTATAAGTGGACAGAAACAGTCTTATAGATCAGAAGTGGTTTCAGTAATTGACATGAACAGGTTCCACATGTGGTCTCTGCAGTTGATACATAGACGTTTTCTTAAATAAAATGAAGCCAGTACATTCAGCACTTAAAACGGTGACATAGAATGGTCAGGGACAAAGTGCCATAGAGATTTCGATCGAATTCCATTCATTGCGAACCGATCGGAAAGAAGAAAAGGCCAACATAAAGCAGATCCAATGTTCTCTTGAAGATCTAAGAAAGCGCTGGGCCTTGGTGGAAGAGAAAGTTGTGCGAAGCTTCATAGTTCATAGTGCGATGAACTGAGAATGTTGCTGGCAGAGTATTTGTTAAAACAGCAACTGCAAAAATTAAACGATTAGCCGAACTCTTGGTCATCACAAAGTGCTATCGGTTAATAAAGGACAAAAAACCGAGGCAGAAGAACGAAAGAAAATATAGCGCGCACTTGATGTCCACAGTCGCCCTAGCTCGCATCGCCGCCGGGGAAGAAGCGTGGCCAGCTGAGCGGCTTCGCGACTCCGATCGATACGCGGCTGGCAGTGGACGCGGCGCAACTGACCACCGCCGGCTTGGCGAGTCCTCGTCCTGTCGGCTGTTCCGTGCTCGTCACTCACATTCTATTGAAGAAGCCTGG